GTTTTCTGTATTACAATTTTTTCTCTCTGTCTTTTTCCTTGATGATAAGAATAGTTTTAAGAAACCTCATCTGAAGGACACTGTATAATAATGACCTCTGTTGCATAAAATAACACATTGCTGTAGAAGGGAGAAGAATTAGAATCCATCTTCAGAAAAGACATTCTTGGATGAAGGATTTCATTTTTCCAACAGCATTCATGGAGTTAGAAGACTCATTTTGTAATTTGCAGAATGTGTTATCTAAATCTTCCTCTGTAACAGCCAAAAAAAAGCTCAGGCTGAAATTTTGTGCCCAACTGAAATACATTATGGTTATGCACTTTTAATCCTATAATGCTTATCTCCTTTACCACCTTTGGGGTGTACAGATTTACCATATCATCAAAGGCAAAATTTAAAAAAACCCAATCATTTAATCCCATAAATAAACATTTGAAGAACAAAAAGACTAGTTTATGACTTGAAGGAACACTACTAAGCTAATCACTTGCCCTGCAGATACGACTCTCTCTTCATTACTGCAAAAAACGTTGTTATTTTTATGTGCTTTCATTTTGCGTCAGATGAACCCAATAAAGTGACTTGACAGTCACATTTAGATCCAAAACGGGCTTGTTTCATAGCCTGAAACCTCAAATTATTTCCAGGCTTTTTCAGATGTCAACCTTTGTAAACGTGTAAGGAGATAACAGCAAATATCAAGGTTTTGAGGGAGTTGCAGTTCTCAGATTCTTGAAATGTTCATGTTTATGCTACATTAGTAATGTATGTTCTGCATCTATTTTTTTAAAGATAAATGTAAGACAAATGCCTTTCAGGGGCTAAAGAAATGAGAGAGAAAGGATGCTTTGCCATACTCCTTGGGCTAGGACATTCACGATTTGAAAACTAGTAGAACATTTTGGACAAATGTGGGTGACAGGGAAATTCCAGGTAGCACTGAGTAGCCTCAAACTTTTCTGTCCGTTTTGGCGCTCTCACAATATTTCTTAAGAAAACAAGTTCAAATATAGACATTTAAGATGTTGCATTCAGATATGGGGCCAGAGTCTATTTCACCTATTGGGCACACAAACAAATGCATTTCGTGTGATTCTGTTCCTCCCTTCTTAGGTGCCTGAAAACAGTAAATGCAAGAGAAAAGCAGGTCTTCCTTCTCTTCCTCCTCGTGGGTTAGGGTTTTTGTTTGTTTGTTTGTTTTGAGATTCGTTTAAGAACAAAATGATCGGCACAACTATTATATCACTTATGGAGAAATATGAAATCCTAACTAGACAAAAAAATAAAATTAATTTTTAATGCCAGTCCCAATTTTTAGTAGATGTAGTGTTTGGATTTAGAAATACCTAACAGTCTTTTCACATAAATTATATTATCTACATTAAATATAAATAGAGTTTATAATCTAATGGTTACACATGTGCACATACACACACATATATATATACACACAATTCTTTCAGATTTTTCACTAGACTGCAATTGTGCAATGGAGTATCATTCAATATTATATTCTATTATCTTGTAATATGTTTCTAGAAAAGCTTTATTTGAATCTCTGAGTTGAAATACATTTGTTGTCCATATATTGGTTTATTTTTTCTCAAGTGTATTTAGCTTCTTTTGAATAAAAACAAAATATTGTCATGTAAAGAAACTGTCACACATACAATGCTATTCCTTTATGACAAACTTGTCCAAGAGTCTAATAATCAGTTAAAATGGAGGGTGGGAAACCATCAAGCACTTTGATTTTGATAAAACTTTCATCTGTTGGAAGAACAACAAATTATCTAGGATTGCCATTTATTCTTAAAACATTGCTACAAGTTTCTAAAGAGGAAAAAGAGACCTGATAAGGAATGGTGTAGGGAGTTGGTATATAATAGAAAGAGAACGGAAGCTGTGTGAACTGTTTTATGAGCATGTTAGGTCGGTTTGGGGTTTTTTTGGGAGGGTGAGGAGCGGGTATAAGTCTTTTGAAACAAGTTTTGTATTTTTTACTGAAATATCCCATATGAAACATGCCATGTCTTGTTTGTGTCCAATGACTGAAGTATTATTGAAAAACAGCTGTCTTATTGCCACAATAACCCCTGCTTAATACAGGCATAACCAGCAGGGTTTGCATCCTGGGCAGACCCTGCAGGAGAGCGTGGAGGGCTGCATGTAGGTTTCATGAGCAGGGGTGCAATACTTTGAATCAGGCTGGAAACTCCAAAACAGTCCCCAGCTGCACTGCTCCTGCTGCTGCTGACTGCCACCACCATGTGCATTTCCTTTCGCATTACCTCGCTCTTGCTCTCTAAGCAGCAGCGGCAGGAAATTCACGAACTAGCTGCTGCTACAACAAGAGCTTGTGGGTGGAGTGTTTGTGTGGATGTATGAGAGTGTGAGTGGGAGTGGGAGTGGGTGAGCATAGAAGTGAGTGAGGCTCCACTCAGAGGCACACAGGTGTGTGTGTGTGGGGGGTGGGGGGGAAAGGGGTGTGGGTGGGCGCAGTGTTTGTGGAGTGTGTGATTGTGTGTGGGAGAGCATATGGTTGTGAGGCTTGCCACTGCCATCCCTTCCTGCTGCAGTCCCCTGGAGCCTGTGCTGGGCCATCTGCACCTAAGTCACTGCCACCTCCAGGGTGCCCAGAGGGGCAGCAGTGGCGCCACAGAGCAGACAGTGGTGAGGAGGGGGTGTTAGGGTAGCTTGTCATATTTTATGCTTTAAAGTTGCACCCATTTATAGAGTGGTGAATTATAGCATTGTTTAAAGTTTTCTTTTATATACAACCTAAAGTTCTGTATAGCCTCATTGTTATCTGAACTTTTCATTTTGCTGGTGTTTGCAGTATTAGCCGGCCTTGTTTCTTGCAAACAGCTTCTGGCCTTGAGTTTGCTCGCATGATGTTTCTTTCCTTTTTCTATCACTGTGAGAAGTTTTTCTAACACAACATAGTAAAAGTTTTGTTACTAGCTCAAATTAACTGAACTTGGCACTAACCAGATGAATCAGAGGGATGAAGTGATTGGATATGTTAATGAAAGGTAAAAAAAAGGAGACCAATGGACAATGCTTAAAGTAAAACACTGGAAAAAGGCTAAATTAAGAGGTGTGCTCGTAATGGGGCTGTTGAACAAAGGAATATGCTGACAGGATTAAATATGAACAATATGCTGACTGCAGAGAGACTAATCTAAAACAAAGAATTATCAAAGAAGTCAAGTTAAAGAAAAGCATAAAAGGGGAAAGCAAAAAAGTTGTGTGTGTCATCGCCATCATCATTTACATCATAAATCCAGCTTTCAACACCTGTCTGGATCATCCCAGCCAATGACACACCCTTTGCTCCAGGAACTGAGTGGCCGTCTTTTCTGTGAAGCAAAGTAACATCTGGGATTGGGTGAGATCACTGTACTGTTTTTCTCTCCCTGAATATAGAAACTGTTAAGAGAATACTTTTTGTACTAATAAAGTTAGACTTTGATTTTAGGACACTGAGTTGTCTGTTTTTATATTTCACATTCCATTTAAGGGTTAATTGTGCTTTAACAATCCCATAGCACTATCTGCTGGTCAGTGGTGTGAACAGAGGGGCTGCTTTTCCCCCACACTGAGCAACAGCTTCTGTCCTGCACTGCCTGCCACTGCTGACCCTGGGTGGGCAAGCCCAGAGGATGCACAGGGAGCACAAGGTTGGGGCTGTGCAGTGGGGCTGTGCAGGTCCCCACCAGTACAGTGGGGCTTGGGCCAGTGGTGGTGGCAGTCAGAAGGAGCTGCCACTGCTTAGAAAGGCAGTCCAGCTGTGGAGCTGCCCCAGAACCACTGCTTGCCCAGGGACAGCGGGACATACCATGGCTGGACGGTGCCTGGGCCAGGTGGGACCAAGGGACCCACCATGGGCTGGATAAGGACTGCTAGGGGCCAGATCCAGCCCACAGACTGTATTTTGTCCATCTCTGCTCGAGCATCTCATATAGATGAGACAGAGTCTATTTAAATAACAGAGATGTAAAGAGGGTGGCTTTTAAACTTCTCTAATTTTAAACTGTTACTCTCACTGAACCCAAACCATTTCCAGCTGCTGTTTTCCTCAGTTAAATGTGCCATATCAGTATAAAAAGAAAAAACCACACAATAAATGGAGAACTGTTCCTGGCATTATCAAAGGTCATTAATCTGGATATGCTTTCATTCTAAGCATTTCTGTCTTCAGTATTTAACTGCTCAAATCACTTTGAGCAGTTAAACTGAAATATGGTATGTCAGCATGACAAAGGCACCTTCCAGACCTGGTACTATTATGGCCCCGCCCTCGTCTCTGGGCAAACTGCCCACCTTGCTCTTCTGCCACATCTTGTTGATAAATTATTATGATGTCAAATAGGCCAGAGACTGCCTTCATGTGCCCAAATGACCATGGGTGATCAGTACACACTCTTACCATCCCTACACATGTCCCATGCCTTGATGATGTCTCACCATGTGATGATACTCTGGCTCAAGGCCAGGCCAAGCTGGGCACACAGTTGTATCTTTATCATACTGCCCGCTCTGGGGCCACACACACGCCACCCCTTTCTCACCGGGGCTTCTTGTACTCCACTCGTTCTCACTTGGTGTGGCAGCAAGGATCACACTTCCCTCTCAAAGGAGATGCCAGAGATCCAGAAAAAGGGCCCTGAAGATAATAAAGAGTGCCGGAGAGGGTGCTCTGAGCACAAACACTTACCTTACAGCAGACTGGAAGCAAGAAAAGAAGACACAGGAAGATCAAAGATACCTAGATTTATTAGCTAGTATCAGTTCCAGTTGGCTGAGTGCAGGATGGAGAGCAGTTAAAAACCACACAACAGGAGGGGAGGGATAGACAGAAACAGAGAGAGAATGGAGAGCAGATCAGAGGAAGTATTTTGGAGACTGAAATAGAGACAATGCCCTGGGAGGGGTAAAGGAGGAGAGTAGGAAAACTCTCTCCTTTTGAGGCTTGGAGGAGTTTCTACACTTACTGGGATCAGGAGACAAGAAGATGTGATCAGCAGGATCTGGCAGAGCAACTGCTGTCCAGCTGGGGAACCTGTAAGGACATAAGACAACTAATTGTGAGTGGCAGTGGTGCAGGATAGGGGCACCTGTGAAACCAGGGACCCCTGGATCTGCAGCCCACCAAAATTACTTATAAGAAAAATGTAGGTCAGGAGTAAGAACAGTGATAGATAACCAGTAGCCTTGGGTTCACAGAGTCATGTAAAAAAAATGGATCCAAGTGTGGTAAAAATTTCTAAATTGACCAAAGGTCAACAGCCATTAAGAACAGCAAGCCTCCCTCTTTTTTTACTTTTTTTTCACCAAGTCATGGCAGAAAAGATTGAGCAGACATGCTGAGTAAAATCCTTAATTAGAAAATCAACTGTTAACTAGGAGCTAGCATGCTTCAAAACCCTGACCATTAAGTAAGCAAACAATTTAACTAGATTCTCCACTTACACCCAGTCTTTTGCATACTGCCTATTCAGGCCACACGTACACCGCCCTACTCTGTGGAGATCCTCAGATTTCTCTCCACCCCTCAGTCAGCCCTGGTACAGTCTTTTGGGCCTCTCCTGTGACCCTCACCCAAACGGGACTGAGTGACTGCTCAACTATGAGCCTGCTTCTCCCCTGCCCCCTCACCAGACCACTATACCCCTCTCTTGGGCCACAACTCCACCCCTTTACACTAAGGCCTGGGATCTTCCACCCCTTAGGACTCAGCTGCTCCTCCCAGAGCTTAAATGGCCCACAAGTCTGCCCTGCAACTCTCAGGTCCCAGGGTCTTACACCCCCTTGGGCTCAGGTCCTGCTTATTCAGCATGCCTGGCCCCTACTCCAGGGTCCAACACCCCATAGGCCTCAGATGCAGCTACCCTACATGCTGGCCCCCTTCTAACTCTCCTAGTAACCCACCCAAAAGTGGGAGCAGGGGCTTAGGTGCCCCATCCAATGTTACACCGAGGAGATTCTCAGTCCTGGTATTTATGTGGCCCTGCCTCCCTAGCCCAGCAGGGTGCAGTTTTAGGTCATGCCCAGGACCAACAAGACCTCCTCCTTCCCCATAGCCTCACCCTTACCTCTAAGATATTCCTGGAACAGGAGCTCCACCACACAACATTACTCCCCCACTGGCTGACCTCAACATGCTCTGCTCTTATAACAGCTCTCCCAAAATGGCCACTCTCCAAAATGGCCACTTTCATTAGCCACCTGGCAGCTCCCTGCTCCAGCCCTAAAGTGACAGACACCCTAAAGGGTTTTCTATCAAAGTCAGCCTGGATGCCTCTGGTGGTTTTTATTTTCAATATGAGAATTTCAAAAGGGGTCTGAAAATATGGTACTGTTTCATTTACCAGAACAAACAATATAAACTGGGAGAAATTTTGGACTCCCTTTGCAAGCTTTAGGTAAAGGGAAGAGGACTAAACTATCTCAAATACAATTTGGAAGTTAGTTCTTAGCATGAGCTGCTTCTTTCTTAAGTTTAAATGCTACCTTTTGAAATGGCTAAAATATTTAAATAGGAAAAAAGATTCAATAGACTGAAGAAGCAAGAGACGCTTCAATAGACTGAAGATGTATTCCTGCATAGAAACTTTGGTGTGATTTTAATTCTCTATTTATTTAACTGAAATTGAAATTATCAGAATAACCTAATTGGGCACAATCTAATGTATATGCAAAACCAAGGGAGTGACATATTATATAATGCAAAAAGACCCAATGAAATCTTAACACAAGTCCTGAAAGCAAGATACAATGTCCAACTATAATGGAGATGTGATGTTAATCGATATCTCAGGAAACACGTTTACAATATCAAAAAGATGCCTCAGTGATTTCAGTACAAATCCATGGAGTCCACATAATATACATATTGAATTAAAAGAACATTTTTTTCTGTAAGGCTGGAGTGACTTTTGATGTCATACTTCTGTTGCAGAAATGTATTGCATTTGTGTTTTTTGCTTAGAAAGGAAATATATTCCCCATCTTACTAAAATGAAACTGAAGTTGATACTGTAATTTTATAATATCTATTATAAAATCCCCTTTCCCATTCCCTCATATTTTCAGTTAAATTTCCCTCTCTCTTTTGATCTCTGGTTTTCACTCATAAGCATTGAATTTCCATGTGGGATAATTAGAATTGCCAATAATAATTCTGAATCATTGTATATGTATATGATAAACACGAAGTCTGCTGTTTCAAAGACGGACAAAAGCAGTGTGAATTACTAAAACATTATCCTAAATATTCTTTCCTATTTTTACATAACTTGCTTTGAGCCAGTGCTTACTCTGATTTTTTGTTTGCTTTTTGCAAACATATAACAAATTCTATTGGTATTAATATTCACAAAAATATTTTTCTAATAATATTTTGTTTGAGTATTTTAGAAACTGAATTTTGAAATTATATCAACAATTGCATTATTCTATTGGGAAGTATTTACATTCTCAGACAAGTGGGGAATAGAATTATTAACATATACATTAAATGAACAATCAATAACCATGAAAAATGAGTCAAATTCCAAATAGCTATGAGCAGCCTATAGTGTAAAAGATGTTTGCTGAAGTTTTGTAATTTTCTCAAATATATCTGCTTCCGAATATTATAAAAGCAAAATCTCAGGTAATTATAAAAAGCATTTGTTTTGAATTATTGCTCAATTATAATAACATACTGTTTCTTTATCATACATTTTCCTTAATTTTCTGTTTAACTCACTAACAACAGTTATTCTTAATCTAATTTCTGTTGCATTTAATTTGCTAATAAAATGCTCTCAATCTTCATGTTCTTTACATTTTGACAGTCTTTTTTGCTAATAATGTTGTTCATATTTTTTAAGAATACATATTTATGTGTAAATACATATTGATGTATTCTTAAAAAAAGCATTTATATATATTTCATATTAGGGCTGTAAAGAAACACCACATGCTTTTTAAAGGGATAAATACCTAGCATTTTCTTTTTTAATGATGGAACATTTATAGAAAATAGGAGTGTAAGAGACCTCAGAAGGTCATCTAGATTAAACCAATTAAGTCTAAACATCTGCCCATGGCTTTGCAACCTAAGGGCCAGACTGCTGTAATGTCCTGTATGTGGGGCTACCCTGGACTGTCTGGGTGCTGCAGCAACACGCTCCTAATGGTGATGGGTCACTAGGAGCCTGTAAGTCCAGTGCTCCAGAGTGTACATTGGGCATGTTTACATGTTCATTAATGTGCTTTTGCTACTGTGTTTTAAGTTTAGTATCTCTGGACATTTATACAGGTGCCCTGGGAGTGGTGGTGGGGGGGGGGGGGCACTCTAATTAAAGCTCCTAGATCGTCTCTTGTTTCAGTGTCCCCACACTTCAAATGGAGGTGCTTCATGTAAAGCTTCTTGAACAAGCTTTAGATAAAGCCCGTCCCCACTGCCATTTTGAAGCACAGGGACACTGATATATGACACATGGGATAATGATGGAGCATGGTAATAGTCATGCTCCGGCAGACTCAATTAATCGAATCTGCTCCAACACACTGGAATTCCAGCATGTCAAAGCAGCCTCCCTGCTTATTTATAGGCACCCACTAATATGAGGTACTACAATGTGCAGTAGCAAAAATGAATGCCTTTTTAGTGATGCTTAATGTGGAATAGACTAATTCTACACCACATTCATGTATTAGCACTCTTTTTGATTAGCACTCTTTTAATGCACAGTAGAATAGGATACTGCACATTAAAGCGCATGGGTAGATGTGCCCACTGGCTTCCAATAGCTTTTCAGGCACAATTCAAGGTGCTAGTTTTGACTTATATAGCCCCAAATGGTCTTGGTTGGTCTCGGTTATCTGTACTTAAGGGACTAGATTCTCCATTATGCCCCATCACAATTCCTAAATTCAGCTGAAGTGACCTCTTGCTTCCTATCTTGTTTTATAAGTAGGGACCTACCAAATTCATGGGCCCCAGCAGCTGATTACACAGCTGTAACATGGCTGGGGCCCCTGATTTCATGGCGATATCATGGTTGGGGTTGACATTTTAAATGCGGAGCAAAGCAGGGGCCCCCATGCCTCTGATTGGCTGAGGGATGTTGCAGAACCCACCCCTCCCAGGCATTGACTGAAAGCCTAGCTGGAGATGTCTGGCTTGTTAATTCAGTAATTATCACTGTCTTCAAGGGGCAGAGGGTGATAATTAGTGAGTAAACAAACAATTTAAGTGTGGCAATTAAACAGTTCTCCCATACCCAATTGAAGTGTAAAGCTAGCTACCTGGCTAAAATAAAGCAATAGAGACAATTAATTTTAAAAAATACCAAATGTAAATTTTATTAAAGAGGAAAACCAACACTATACTAACACCAACTATATAACCTTAATTAAATCAGCACTTAAATTATTCACAGAAGGACCTTAGGAAAATAAACCCATACAATGCACAGCATGAACTAGAAGGAACACCAACTATATACAATTTTTTACAGAGCAGTAAAAAAAACAAAACAGGTAACTGAAACCCATGCTAACTTTGAGAGAGGCTGTTCAGGCATTAAACATAACCATGCTGCACCCAGCTGCTTTTGAGAGGGACATTGCTCACATCTATGGGTTGAACATTTGTCCGTAGGTGGAGATGGCACACTCAGAATCCACTGAGTTTGTTGGGATGCTGAGATGGCACCTGGCCAGGGTGTACAGGTGGGGAAACCAGTCATGGACAGAGTCCCAAAATTCAGGCATGCACACAGGCATCCGGCACTCCTGCCCAAAGTTTGTCAGTGGCATGCTCACCATCATGGTCTGCCTCCTACCCCAGGATTGCCTTCAGGAGCCAAAGGTCCCAGCTCAGCAGAAACGCCTGGCTAGGGTCCAAAATATGAACAGCATGCAGGAAGGGGGCAGCTGGCTGTCTGAACCACAGTGAAAGGGATGGGTTGTACTTGTAACATTGTTTGAGTTTTACTGCTACTGCCTGGAACAGCTCCCATCTCCACTGGTTTTCCTGAGGACAGCTTGACTGTTCTTGAGATGCCCTATCCTCCACCCAGCTGATCAAGTCCATAAGTTTGTTGTATGCATGGTGGATCACAGTCTGCCTTCCCCCAGACCATGTCAGGAGCTCCATGAACTGGATGGCATTGTCATCGATGAACGTCACTTGATCCTGAAGGTCAGTTCACCCCAAGAGATCCCAGAGCTTAAGCAGGCATTGCGTGCTGGCCATAACGTCCAGCTCCTTATTCACATGAACCACTGATAGTACTGCATATTCTTGGCATGGTAATGGACTATGCTGAGCCACGAGTTCCACTGGGTGAAGACAGGCTCCAGTGGCAAGGACACAGTGGCATGTGGGTCCCCACACTGACTGCTGATGGAGTCCCTGTAGCAGATTTTATGCTCTGGACAGTGCTTGAAGACTTTCTTGAAGGAAGACACCAAGCTGTCCACTTCGAGGAACTGTGTGCACCAGATGTCACCTACTGGGGAGAGAATATGCACATTGCAGGTGACATGAACAGCATTGGGCAGCACTTCTCGGAGCATGTCAGAGAAATCCTTGCACATGTACATGGCACTGTCAGACAGGAAGGCTGAGACCTGGTTAAAGTCAATGCCTTAGTTGCAAAGTACTGTCACTATGACTTGAGACATGGTAGAAAAAATTGACTGAGATGAGGAGGACCAGCTCAGTCTGGAATACAGGCAGGTCCTTGTCAGTCCAGCTCCCTGGTACAAATATAACATGCAGCAGGTAGTTGTCCTGAGGGTCGGTGGCTTCATCAGCCACAACAGAAAAGGATTCATGCTCTGACAAGGTAGCCTTTGTGGATTCGACCTGCGAAGTGATGACTGCAGGGAGATAGTCCTGATGCAGTTTGTTAGCACACAGAAAACTGCCAGCATTTGGCATGGTTTTTTTAGGTGGTCCCTCAGCTTCGGGTAATCCAGCTTCTCCAGCAGGATGTTTGCAAAAGCTTCCACAAGGGAAATGATGCCTCTTGCCCTGCCAGCCTGCTGTCTTTCATCTTCTTGAAGAGGAAGGATGCAGATGCTTGCTTCTTCTTTTGACTGTCAGCTTCTGCAGCAGCTTTCCTTTCCATGTGCACTTCCAACTCCAGGTGCCAATCAATGCTGCCTTTCC